TCTGGGTCTTAGAGTCCTCTCTCCACCATTGTCACACACCTCCACCCCACACAGTGAGTGTGACCTGTCACCTGTCTAGGCGTCCAGCAGATAAGGATAATAGGAGCTAGTGTCGTATGTGCCGGAGCCATGTGTTTGCCTAGATTTACCACTGAGAACTCTGGCTGGTGACCAAACTAAGGCGCCACCAGAGCCTGGATCTCCAGCTCTGACACAAAGGTCCTGCCTGGTGAGTACCAACAGGTTTCTTATTATGTTTTCTAACAACTATAAACACCTTTTGCCTGCAGGGATCAAACACCTGCAGGAAACTAACAGACAGTGTAGGTGTTGTGGATTCCCGGGTTCTCACCACAGAGTGCACCAGGGACCTGCAAGGTTAGGCTTTTACTTCTGTCTGCCACTGACAGAGCAGAAGGTGTTCTGGCCCCTGTTTCTTATCATGTCTGTCATGGGCACTTCTGAGCAAGACCACAGAGACAAGACAGAAGGCAGGCGTCTGACTGTTGGTGGCTCAGTCCCAGACCCAGGCCTGAAGTTGGTTCCTTGACCAAATGGAACTACCACACTCAGCTGGAAGGAGCTGACAGACTCTTGCCACCCAGGGCCATAGCCTTCCCACCACACCCTTCCAAACTGCTACCATCTCATCCCAGACCACCCATTGGGCTGTCTTCACTGCAGGGGTAGAGTTGGGGGTTGTGACCTTGTGGTAACCAGAGCAGTCTGGACTCAGCAAAGGAACATGATAGCTATTTTCTAAGACCCTGAAAACCATGAGGTTGGATCTTAGCCTGGGGGTATCAGGTGGCCCCAAATCACCAAGCACAGAGGCGGCCCTGCCTGCCACAGTTGGGTGGTGACATGGCCTCTTGATCTAGTGGGAGCAGATGCTAGGCCTTAGTTGGATGTCATATAATATGTATGGCTTGAGAATCAATGAATGAATGGAGACCCAGGATGGAACCAAGGGAAAGAAAGAATATCAGATGGGAGGTCCCTAAGCTTAAGTTGTGGGTCCTATTTCTGCCATAGCTACCTACATTCGGCCCAAGGCTCAGCCTGCAAAGGGGTCACAGTGAGGTTGCTCAGGCCAGAAGTCCAGGAACCACACTTCTTCAGAAATGGCCTCATGACCTTTGAGGGTTTGCTTCCTGATATCCCTGGTACATTATCTGAAGGAAAAGTCACTTGACTTTAGGTCAATGGGGATGTTGCCAGAAACACCCCATATCTTGGGGTGAAAGCCAGGAATGAATGTCAAGTGGGATCCTCCAGCCCTTCCTTTGCTTTGAAACTGTTCAGATCCTGCAACCCCTCTCTGCTGGCCCTAGAGGAGGCAGGGGAGGGTAGACAGTGCTTCCTGTCCCTGCATAGCCTGTCTCTGAATGAGGACACATTGACAACTGTCTTCCTGGAGGACTACCTGGTAGACAGGAGGCACAGTGTGGGTCACCCTCTGCTAGGACCAAAACATCCATTAAAACCAGGGCCTTGAGTCAGAGGCCTAATTGCATCAGAAGCTGAGGCATGAAGATTGCAAGTTCAAAACCTGCCTAGGCTATAGAGTGAGTTCAAGGCCAGAAACTGTGCAACTTAGCAAGACCTTGTCCTAAAAGACATACTAGAAGGAGGTTTGGGGATATAGTTCCACGGGAGGGTACTTGCCTAGCATGGCAAGGAAGGTCTTTAAATTCAATCATCAGGACTACAAACAAACTTCTGTCGAGTTGGGTGTTTGGCAGTATGGAAGGGGAAAGTCCATACACTGACTGGAACTAGAGTCTTAGTCTGTTTCCTTGGACACGTGGGAGAAAGTATAAACTTGCACAGGAGTCTGACAATGTTCAGGGAGGGCAGGGGTGCCCAGGTACAGATAAAGTTTGATTCTAAATTTAAACAAACGCAGCATAATGAGGTTTTATGCAAACTACTTTCACTGGGGCCTTTAAAATGGGCAGATTTAAAGGTACCTTGATGGTGAACACATGGTGAATTAGAAAAGCAGCACAGAGCTATCTTAACTGAGACAGAGAGAAGAAAGCATTCTAACCCAGCTTCCAGTTAAGTGTTTGCTTGTGTCTGATTTCTGACAGGGGGCATGGGGGTCCTCAGATCAGCACTGGAGCTGCTGCTGGCCCCCAAGAGGCTATCTCTAAGCAGATGGGGTTCCTGCATCATTGGTCTGGGTGGGAGTGCTTAGTGATGAGTTCTTCACTAAGACCCCTTTGCCGTCTGAATGTGGCTTTGTGGGACAGATAAGGTAGGGACATGGTGTGGAGCCCAAGCTTGGGGACTCCTGAATCTGCCCTCTGAAGTCTTTCCATGGCCCCTTTGGCCTCTTTTCCTTCCATGGTACTCTAGGTGTGGTATGGCATATGACATTTAGTGTTCCTTAGAATGTATTGGAAATTGCAAACCACAGACCCCCATCTCAGACCCACAGGATAGAATATTCAACTCTACAAGAGACTCAGGGGGCTCTATACACACATTGGAGTTTGGAGGCCAAATGGCTTTTCCAGAATGTTCAGCTGGGCCTTCCCCAGTAAGGCCAGCACAGCAGACTCCCTCCTGCATTTCTCAAAAGTGACGGGTGAGTTCGAGCCCCAGATCTCTCACTTCCTAGCTAGGTTCACTGACCCCCAGGAGCTTTAGAGAGTTTATCTACACGACGAGAACGCCGCAGCAAGTGTCCAGGGCCTTTGTAAGATGGAATGGAATGCAGGGACTCTCATCCAACCTTGGTTTTCTCTGGGCCTCCAACCCACACATTCTGTTGACTGCTGGCATCCCTGTGAACTCAGTTTTAAGAAAGTCAACTGCAGATGCAGGATGCTGTATTCTGTGGCAGCAGCTAAGACTAGCATTGGCACAGTGACCTGACGGCCCAGGCTGCAAACACCAGCTTTCTTATTCCCAGCTGCATTCCTCTCCGAGCCTTTTTGGTCTTGAATAAGAGAGTTTGGGAAGACAAGGTCACATGGCAATGAGAAGTGAGTAACTCCCGTGAAGTACCTGGCACACAGTGAGCCCTGTGACACATCTCTCATCACCGTCACCATCATTACCCACCCCTGCTCACCCGGAGAATAGAAAATGTTATGCAGATATAAGGCATGTTACTAATGCACATATTTCTTGTGCCCACATCAGACAGCCTTTGGCAACCAAATTAGTCCTGACTATGACTGCCCTGCCCTGGGAGCCTGCAGTCTGAGTGATCCTAAGTATGGCTGGCCTCCACTTAGCCAGCACACTCTGGGTGGGGCACCTTGCCGTGCTTAATTTTGACGTGTCCTGGCAATGGGCATAAGCTTGCCCCACAGATCTCAGACAGTGTGCTCAGCTAGGCTGCGTGCAGCTTTAACCAACCCTTAAAGTCTCTAGATCTTCAGCATCACACCCCAGGTGTTCTTTCCAATAGTCTGCGGTGTGGCCGAGGCTTTGAGATCTTTCCAATGCTCCCCATGGTACTTTTCCGTCTAAAGGATGATGGGGGTATCTAGGAAGTTTGAAGGAAGCCCCTACTGTTTTCCATTCACTCAGAGGAAAATTTTCTCTACTGCCCTCTTCAAGGGGAAGCCTACAAGGAATGTGAACACATTGAGACAGAAAACAACTCTGTCCCTATAAGCAATAGACTCTCAAATGAACTCAAAACCAACAAATTGCATCCTTGGCTAAGGGGAGTATTTTTTGTTCCTCTGAGAAAAACAGATGAAAGCAGGTTAGCCTCAGGAATCCAGGGTACCACTTTCAGGGTCTGCCTCTGGCCCTGCATGTGCATCTCTCCACCTCTCGTGCTCTTGTGAGCACCCTGTGGTCACAAAGCAAGAATTCACAGGTGCCCTGTCTTCTGTGCAAGCAAGCACACCCATGCTTGACCCTAACGGCATGCACAATGGAATAATGTGTTCTGGGCAGTCTCAATGTCAACTAAAGAGGTTCACAATTAATCAGACGCCCAACCTCCTGAGCTACTACCACCCTGAACCCCAATGCTTTATTTCAGCCCAAGAGGAATTTCAGGCTCTAGTGGAGAGATGTCTTGCAGGACTCGGCAAAACAAACCAAGCCGGCCTCTGCTTTCCTGTTGGCCGGGGAGTTACCACCTGCTTTGGAAGGCAGCTGCCCTTGACTGCTGGCCCTACAGGTGACTCAGGGGAGCAGCTAAAGCTCAGGAGAGGCTTTGTTTCAGGTCCCAGTCTGCTAAGAAGCCACGATTATGGAGGGACCTAGTGGTTTTCCCGAGGCAGGATGGGAAACTGTGGGCAGAAAAAGGATCCAGCTGCTGTGCCACCTGGCATCTTCTGCCTTTGCCCACTCGTCCCATCTGGAATGCCTGACCCACCCTGACTTCTGGGCAGACTCTTACTCAACATCCTTTGCCAAAGTCCTCACTCAAAGCGTGATCAGTCCTGTACCCCCTTCTGGCGGCTCTTGAACACCTTGAATTATCAAAACAGCTCTTCCCACACTGAGCCCAGTACTTACACCTATAACCCCCAGACTGAGAGCCCTTCCCAAAGTCTCTCACCCAGGGAGACTTCACCACCTAGATAATGTCAACTCCCAGCTCAGGGAAAGAGGCCGCCTGCTTGCTGAGTGAGTGGTGGTCCCCAACCTGTAGCCAAGTGTAGTAGACAGGGAGAGGGTTTCTTAGAGAACTCAGTACAGGCAAAGTCAGAGAATCCCAGCTGTCCAGGACTCAGAGCAGGAGACTCTGCTCCTGGTGGGAAAAGGGTAGGAACACCCTAATGTGGCCTCAGATCCTTGGGGAACACTTTCTTCCTCCATATCTTTGATTAGGAGCTGCCTGACCCAGGCCCCATGTATCCACTGAGAAATAGGATCTACCCTTTGCCTAATTGGAAGATAGATGTGCAAATAAAAACCAGGAAGACATGGAAGGGCAAACACGGGGAGTGCAGACACCGTCAGAAAGATGGAGAGAGATAACAAGCTTGGCACACTTTCTGTATGGGCTTCTCACTCACCAGTTCCTTTCTGAGCCAGGTTATAGCTTCATCGATACTCTGGAAGCCTTCCAGCTTGCCCGTGGTCAGTGGCCTGTCGCCTTGGCTGTCACCCCTGGCAGGTGGGAGAAGCCCTCTGGACTCCCTTAGAGGTATCGAAGGCTCTCCACCTCCACAGGCTCCCTGCTCCAAGCTTGCATCTTGCTGGGCTGCTGACCTTGGGAAAGGCCACGTCTGCTCCTCCAGCCTGGCCTGCCATTCCAGGTAGGAGGGTCTTCGGGTCTCTAGCCTCAGTTTCTCAGTGAGGGCCTTCAGGCTGAGGAGGTGGTCATCTGGAGGTGCGGCTGGCCCTGCCGGCCTGTCTTTCTCACTCACATCGTCCACTTGGATCCGCGGCACAGACATTCTCTAGTCTGCCCTGGCAGCCAGACATGGGAGGTGGTGGAGGCCACTCGGGAGGCTTGCTGGGTAGCAAGGTCAAGTCCTGCTCTGCAAGGGCCTCATACAGCAGTGGCCATGGCTCCTGAAGGCATTGTTGGGACGGGAGTGAGTCTCAAGGCTTGGCAGCACCTGGAGCCAAGCAAGGCTGTAAAGTGTGCCTCCCTGAGCAGGTGTGGCTCAGGGTCTATGATTTGTCCCGTAATCCTGAGGGGCCATGCTTCACAGAAGGCAGGATCAGACAAGCATCAGCAGGAATCTTTGGGGCGGCCTCCTCCGGGATCTATCTATGCTTGCCAGAGGTGTGCAGGTCGCAGGTGATGGGAATGCCTTCTTTGGGGGGAAGTGAGCCTGCAGGACAGAAAAGAATCATATCAGCCCTGGCTTCACCCCCCCAAGGTGGAAAACTGAGGTCCAGGGGAACAGGGTGTCTGCTTGCCAGTTCTTGGAAAGAAGTGAGGCAGTTTCACAGACTTTATGCAGAGCAATTGATTGAACCGATAGAGATTTACTGTTTGTAAAACCACTCTCCCTGGCTGAGCCCAAGGAAGCCCTGGCAGCAAGTTTAGAGGCTTGATTTTAACACCCAATACACAGAGGAAGAACCTGAGTCTCTAAGAGGCCAAGTGACTCACCAAGACAGATCCCTCAGTGAGAAATAGGGGACAAAGCCATCTGGTCTGAATATCAGGACAGGTCTCTCCTCGGGGCACGTCCTCAGAAGCAGCTGACTGACCAAGTGGGACTCTGCACAGACTCAGGACAGGTGTCTACTGCCTCTTAACCACCCTCACTCATCACAGCTGCACCTTCCATCCACACACAGCTTCCGGCTCCAACAACAACACCTGACCTCACCTCTTCAGAGGAAGCAAATAAAACGGCATCCTGGGCAGGAAAGAAGCTGGCGGCTGGAGCTGGGCTGTGAAACTGAAGGAGACACATGACTCACTCTTTTGGAAAGATGTTTCTCACGTTTACCTGGAGAGCTCAAAGGGCAGCACCACCTCTCGAGGGATCTGTCTGTGCTCTGAGATGACCACCTTGTCTCTGGTGATGGGTGTAAGCCAAGACTCTTAGCCTATCACACCGCAGTGTAAGTAGAGAATTGGCTGTTAGCCTATCACACCGCAGTGTAAGTAGAGAATTGGCCGAGTGAGAAGCAGACCTGAGCCTCCAGCTTTAGCATCTCATGTCCCAGGAGATCCGGGCAATGGCCCATCAGAGTAGAAGGCACATGACTTGAGCGTGGGCTTGACACATAGCTGTACTGAGTCCTATACATGAATGAACTGAGGTGGGACCGCATCCAAGATAAGGCTCAGATGGAAAGCTATAGGTTCAGCCTGTTGGAGCACATGCTGGGGCTGGCCTTGTGTGGAAAGAGGAGGAAAGAGAGGTGTTTATTGACTTTGTGTGTCTTTGAAAACCCCATACTTCATGGGGACACAAATTGGTCATGCCGCTTTTGCGCAGGTAGCATCCCCACGCCCCCTAACCCTCGATGGTGATCTGCTTTCTATTTCTACACATTTTCTTCCTGAGAGTGCTCCATCGTTACACCGTATAGGCTCAGCCTTCTTGCCGTTAGTGTCGTACATTTGAGGTGCGGCTGCATTTATCAGTGTTTCATTCTGCTTCATTTCTTAGCGAATGGATGGAATACAATTTGTCTCTCCACCTGTTGGAATGCATGAAACTGTTTCTGCGTTTTGGTGGTCATGAATAAAATCAGTAAAAGAAGTAAAAAAAAACCCCATGTATTCCTGATCAAAGAAAAATTAATTCAGGTGATAACTTACTGCAGTGACAGGCAGACAGAGATGCGGGTTTAAGATGGGGGAGGTGCAGGAGCAAACTGGCAGGCTGGCCATTGAGGAGGATGGTCTCCTGACAGGCACAAAGAAAGCAAGAGCAGAACTTTCTGCTCAGGACCACTCCTGCAAGCCTAGGCTGCAGGGAGAGCTCACCAGAGAAGCAAGGGCTGCCCTCCCTCGCTAGGGCATCACTAGGGAATGAGAACATTCCATCCCACAGACAACAGAGAAACCCAGTCTCATTTCTTGCCTTCTCCGGGCAGTGGTACTTGACCCCTCCCAGGGATTCTCAGCTCACTACGTGGGCCATGGGACTCCCTCAGCAGCCCCTCAGTTTCCCAGAAGCTCCAAGCACGTAGCTGTGACACTTTAGAGATGCTGACCCTAGCTCTAGGCTGTCAGGCTAGCTGAGCCTCAGTCTGCCTTCCTGAGAAAAGGGTTGGTTGATACTATGCATCTTTTCATATATGCTCTCTGACTGTTGGTGCGCTGGGAAGACACAGCACTCTTGATACTCTGCCTCTCCAGATTCTCGTGGTCAGCTTCTTCAGATCTCTCCACGAATAAAAACCTGGGAGTGACTTCCTGGAGCCCCTCCCAGGCGCCTGCTGTCTGCTTTTTGTGCTGAGGTGCCAGCCTTCATTCTGAGTAACCTGGTGGGACATCTGAACCCTAGAAAGCTTCCTTCCCCAGACAAGCGAGCGCCCGTCACAACCAGCAGAGCTTTTTGGAGAAAGTCCCGTTTAGACAGGCCCATGAGCAGCGCCCTCCTCACCAAGTTGTGGGAGGGACAACCCAGGTGGAAAGGCCTTCTTCCTACTCCTACATGCTTCTCTGCAGTGGTTGGGGGGGGGGTCACGCTGCAAGGTCGCCTCTTGTGTCTCACCGTGTGGCTTTGTTTTAATTACTGTCTCTGGATAGACTCAGAGGAAGCCTGAACAGAGCTCAGTGAGATGACTCAGCTTAGGGGAACCTTTGATCCACTCCCTTCATGTGAAGTAGTGGATGCGCTCTGGCTCCCTCCAGCCTCAGTCTCCTCCAAGAAGCAAGCAGGAGAGCAGGGAGATGGGAAACACAGAGATGGGGAAGGTGAGGTCCTCCCATGAGCTGGCTGTAGGCCACTGCCAGCTGGGACCTGAGCACACAGTCAGTTTCTTTCTACCCAGCTCAGAGATGGAAGGCAGCTGTCAGGTCTGTGCTCTGGGCCCCATGGGTTGAAGACCGCCCTGAGCCTCTCCATCCTCTTCTGAGATGTTGGTACCACTAGAACTTGCAAAATCTGCAGACTGGGCTCAGTGCAAAATGCAAACACTGGGTTCTTGGTTTTAAAAAGAAAAGGTTCCTAAGCATTTCAGGGTGGTGACTGCAGAGTATTAACAAGTGAAGGTCTCTGTTAAGTGTGTAGATCACTGAGGGGATCTGAGGCTTAAACAAGGTAACAGCTGTTAGCACTGTACCTAGCATACAAGAGGCCTAGTTAAAACTACATTTAAAAGGTTGCAAAGTGGATGGGACATACTGATAAGCCCACATTCACAGTTTCACCTCCTCACTGAGCTATCACCTGTAGGCCCTTGACCTTTTGGGTGACCTGAATCATCTCTGCTCTTTCCAAACCTTTCCTTGGAAGCCAAATGACCCCGGTATCTGAAGAGGCCCAGAGGATTTCTTCTTTCCTCTATAACCGGGTATAGGAGTTGGCCTGGAATGTTACCCACACAGGCCTGGGGAGGTGCCAGGAGAGAGGTTCCCCATCAACTGCCCACTTAGCTAACTCTGTCCTGAGCTGGTAGCAAAATGCTGAATGGGTGTTTGCGGCAGGTGCCATCCCTGGGGCAACTTTGAAGTGGGCAGAATGGCAGCAAGGCCCTCCTGTCTTTCTTGATATACTGGGGTATTCTGGAGCCTGGGCTCAGGAAGAGCCCCCTGACATGCCAGGCAACACCTAACATAGATTCTCCTGGAGCGGTAAGCCCAGAGCAAAGCAGAAAGCCAAAGGGCATTCTCAGACCTGGGGCCAAGGCATCGGGAGAAAGTAGACACTCCCAGAATCCCACCAGGCACATGGCGGACACCCCATTAATAGCCAGGACAAGCCTTGCTGGTGTACCCGCCTTCCTGAAGAAATGATGTGTGGGCCTGGGGACACACTCTGCATACAGGAATACTGTTCAAACATGCTCCCTGGTTTCCAGGATAGCACAGGATGCTTTGCCAGCTGTGAGCTAATTCCTAGGCTGCTGGAGGAGGTGGGTGGGTACAATTCCATCCGTCAGCCAACACCTCGTCTCATTAGGAGCTAACTTGTTCGTCTGGAAAGCCTTTAAGCCCACTTCCTCAATATGCTCCCGGGCAGAGGAAGACTAGGGGTCTGCTGGCTAACGCTCTCCTCCACTCATTCCTCTGGAACCCATCATTTCCTCTTCAGGAGATACAGCCTAAACGCCCCCACCCCGTCTCTCCTGCCCCCTTAAATCCCATGACTTTGTTCAGTTGTTTCTTCCTCCCGCCCTTCTCTACCTCAGTTCTCAGGGACTTGAGGTCTTTCTTCTTCCAGAAAACTTCTTTAATCTTTGCTGGCTGAGTGGTGTGTTCTGGTGACGACAGTACACAGGAAAACAATGATGTCACCATAAGATTAGCTAACACTTACTAAGGGTAACTAGAGCAGGAGTCATTCTGACAACTAAGCCTGTCCTGACACAGGAATGCATGTAGAAGCCAATGATACACAAATTATTGTTCCCATTGTACATATGGGGAGACTGAAGGCCCAGTTAGGTGTGTCACTTGCCTAAGGTCACAGAACTAGTCAGTGGTGAAGTTGGGACTGGAGCCTCCATGTCTGCATCTAAGCTATCTCTTAATGGCTGGGCTTCTTGCCCCCTCTTAGAATATCACATTTATATCAGGCTCTTCTTTTTTATAAGGCTTATTTGTATTTTATGTGCATGGGTGCTTTGTCTGCATGTGTGCAGTGCCTGAGGAAGACAGAAGAGGTTGTTCTATCTCCAGGGAGTGGAACTATAGTCGTTAGCAACCATACAGGTGCTTGGAGTTGAACTTGGATCCTCTGGAAGAGCAGCCAGTGTTCTTAACCACTGAGCCATCTTTCCAGCCCATACCAGGGCCTCATGACAGTCTCCTCCATGCACTGTGGTGTCTACAATGTGAACCAGTACTTTGGTCCTGAATCCAGAACTTAGCACAGTGCTGCCCTCTGTAATCAACCCAGAATGAATGGGCACTGTAACAGGAAAAAAAGACCCAGAGACAGATTTTGGAGTTCAAGCTTCCAGCTGAAAATCAGAGAAGCAAAGCAGCCAAGCGAGTAGATCTTACCTCTATCCAGCTGAAATGGCAATCCTGTCTCCATGAATCCCCAGAGGCAAAAGCTCTCAGTTCCTGTCTCCTCCTGCCTTTTATTCCTTTCTCTGTCCAATGATATCACTCCTGTCTCCATCTCCCTAGTGCTGGGATTAAAGGCATGTGATCCCAGGTCTGAAATCACCTTTGTGTGAGCTGTTTCTTTTA